CTGTTCACAGAAATAATGGCAGAAAACTTCCCAAGCAGGGGAAAAGAATCTGATATACAGATAAGTTGAGGCACATTGGACTCCAACTAGCCATGATCCAAAAAACCTTTACACCTAGAGATATAATAGTCAACATTCCAGAAGCCCAACAGAAGAAAAAAATATTAAAAGCAGTTAGAGAAATGAAACAAATCACATGCAAAGGAATGCCCATCAGAATCACAGTAGACCTCTCAACACAAACCCTCAAGTCAAGAAGAGCATGGAGTGAAGTATTTCAAGCCATAAAAGAAAACAAACACCAACCCAGATTGATGTACCCTGCAAAACTATCTTTCAAAATCAGTGGAGAAATAAAATACTTTCATGACAAAGTAAACCTGAGGAACTTCATGAATACCGAACCAGCCCTTCGAAAAATTCTAGAGTATCCTAGAAAAAGACAAAGTCATAACTCCTTGAAGTCTAAAAGAATGAAGCCATCAGACAAACCAAGAAATTAAATAGAAAGTGTGGAAAATAAGTAAAAGAGCCAATAACAAGAAAAGAAAATGACAAAGTTAAGTCAATACATTTCTGTTATAATCATTGTCAATGGCCTCAATTCACCAATCAAAATAAATAGACTGACAGAATGGATCATGAAGCAAGATCCAATAATATGCTGTATACAAGAAACACACTTAATTTAAAAAGAAATTCATAGAATGAAGTTCAAAAGATGGAAAACAAGACTCCATGTGACAGGAACCTGGAAAAAAGCAGGAGTAGCTGTCCTATTTGAAGGCAAAGTTGACTTGAAACCAAAACTAATTAAGAGAGACAAAGAAGGTCACCATATCCTTGCAAAAGGAATGATCCAAGAGAAAGAAATGACAATCATAAATACATATGCATCAAATACAAGTGCACCCAACTGTATAAAACAAATATTAATGGACATGAAAAATAAAATAAGCACTAACACAATACTGGTGAGAGACCTCAATACCTGATTGTCACAAATACACAGACCAACTACACAAAAGTTCTGCAATGAAATATTTAAACTGAAACAAACTTGTGAAGAAATGGACTTAATAGATGTATACAAAGTGTTCCACCCCACAAAACCAGAATAAGCATTCTCACCTACACATGGGTCATTCTCTAAAATAGACCACATGCTAGCTCATAGAACTTGCATAAGTAAATAGAAAGGATTTGAAGTTATTCCTTGCATATTGTCAGATCATAGTGAAATGAAAGTAGATCTTAATACCAAAAGAAATCACAAGAACTTCACAAAGATATGGAAATTGAGTTACACCCTCCTAAAAAAGCAATGGGTCACAGAGGAAACTAAAGAAGAAATTAGACTGTTTCTACAATTAAATGATAATGCCAATACAACATACCAGAATTTATGGGACACAAAGAAAGCACTCCTAAGAGGGAAATTGATAGCAATGAATGTCCATATTAGGAAAATAGAATGAGCTGAAACAAACAACCTTAATGCTGTACTTCAAGTTCCTAGAAAGAGAAGAGCAAGAAAAACTCAAAGCTTGTACAGGGGAGGAAAATTATAAAGATCAGAGCAAAAATCAATGTAATTGAGACTAAAAGAAGGATACAAAAAATCAATGAATCAAAAAGCTGGTTCTTGAAAAGAATAAATAAAATAGAAAATCCCTTCACCAGCTTTATCAAAGTCAGGAAAGAAAAGGCTCAAATCCATGCAATTAGGAATGAAAAGGGTGAAATTACAACAAATCCAGAAGAAACACTGAGGATCATCAAGCCTACTTTGAGAACCTGTAGTCCAATAAGATGGAAAACACAGAAGAAATGGGCAGATTCCTAGATAAATATGAATTAGCAAAGTTGAACCAAAAAGATACAAATATTCTAAACACCCAATTATTAATCAGTGAAATTGAAAATGTAATTAAAATCTTACCAAGAAAACCCCAGGTTCTGATGGCTTCACTGTTGAATTCTACAAGAAATTTTGGGAAGAGCTAATGCCACTATTTCTCAAACATTTTAATGAAATTGAAAGGGAAGCAGTACTCCCAAATTCATTCCTGGAAGCATTACCTTGATTTTAAAAGCAGAGAAAGGACCAATCAAAAAAGAATGACAGGCCAATCTCCCTAATGAATATAGATGCAAAAATTCTCAATAAGATACTGGCAAATAGAACACAGAAGATCATCAAGAAGATCATACAACCTGACCAAGTGGGATTTAACCCAGGAATGCAGGGATTGTTTCACATAAGAAAATCAATAATTATAATACACTATATTTACACAGTAAAAGACAAAACCCATATGATCATCTCAATAGATGCAGAAAAAGCTTTTGACAAAATCCAACACCAGTTCACGATAAAAACCTTTCAGAAAATTGGAATATGTGGTATTTATCTCAACCTGATAAAAGCCATCTATGAAAAATCAACACCCACCATCATACTGAATGGTCCAAAACTGAAATCCTTCACACTAAACTCAGGAACAAGACAAGGATGTCCACTATCACCACTCCTGTTCAATATGGTTCTGGAAACATTAGCCCCAGCACTTAGACATGAGAAAGAAATAAAAGGAATAAAGTTAGGAAAGGAAGAAGTTAAACTGTCATTATTTGCAGATGACATGATGCTCTATATAGAAAACCACAAAACCTCCACCAAAAGACTTCTAAACTTAATAACCAAATTCAGGAGAGTAACTATCAACACTCAAAAATCAATAGCCTTCTTGTACAGGAATAACAGACTCACTGAGAGAGAAATTGTGGAAATAATTATTTTCACAGTACCATCCAAAAAATAAATTACCTAGAAATTAATCTAATGAAGGTAGTAAAAGAACTCTACTGTGAAAACTACAGCACTTTGGAAAAAGAGATTAAAGAGGATATCAGAAAATGGAAAGACATCCCTTGTTCCTGGGTAAGAGAAACCTATATAGTGAAAATAGCATACTTCCAAAACTGTTGTACAGATTCAATGCAATTTTGATCAACAGCATATATCTCACAGAACTCAAGCAAATAATCCAAAAATTCATTTGACACTAGAAGAGACCTAGAATTACAAAAGTAATTCTAGGCAAGAAAGACAAGGCAGGGATATCACAACCCCCAGCTTCAAACTAGACTACAAAGCTACTATGATAAAAACAGCATAGTACTGGAAAAGAAACAGACCTGAGGATCAATGGAACAGGTTAGAAGACCCCAAAATAACTCCAGATATACTCAGCCACCTCATCTTTGACAAAGGAGCCAAATTCCCTCACTGGAAGAAAGACAGCCTCTTTAATTTGTAGTGCTGGAAAAATTTGGTTTCAACTTGCTAATGCTTAAAACTAGACCTATATCTCTCATCATGCACTAAACTAATAAAGATCTAAATACTAAAACAGAAACACTAAATCTGCTGGAAGATAAGTTAGGAACAACTCTTGAAGACATTGGAATAGGAAAAGATTTTATGTACAAAACCTCAATAGCACAATAGCACAGGAACTTGCACAAACAATCAGCAACTGAGATATTATCCTATTAAAAAGCTTCTGCACAGCAAGAGTAACCACCAACAGAGTGAACAGACAGCACACAATGTGGGAAAAATTTTTTACCTGCTGTTCCTCAGACAAAGGTCTACTATCTAGAATACACAAAGACCTTAAAAAAATTAGGCCTCCCAAATTTAAAGATCCAATCCAAACATGGGCATCTGAAATGAACAGACATTTCTCAGACCAAGAAATAGAATCATCAAATAAACAAATGAAAATATATTTAACATCACTGGTCACATGAGAGATGTAGATGAAAACAACTTTGAGATTCCACCTCACCCCAGAATGAATGTCTGCTATCAAGTTATTAACCAATAACAAATGTTGGTGTGGCTTTGGGGAAGAAGGAATCCTTCTCCACTGTTGGTGGGAATGTAGACTGGTGCAACCACTATGGAAATCAGTGTGGAGTTTCCTCAAAAAACTAGATTGAGAAGTCTCATTAGACTCAGCTGGGTGTCTTCCCAAAATAATTTAAAATATCATACCTCAGTGATATACCCATGTTTATAGTGACACAGTTTGTAATAGTTAAATCTTGGAAACAGCCCAAATGCCCATCAACTGGTGACTGTATAAAACATATGAGTTTTTTCATAAAATAGAGTACTACTCAGCCATAAAGATTGATAAACTTGAGACATTTATAGCTAAATGGATACATATTGAGGCCATATTCTTAAGAGAAATAAATAGAACACATATTTGTAAATACTGAATTGTTTCTCTGGTGTGAGAAACTGAAAATATAAATGAAGACCTAAAGGTATAATAGATAATGTGAAATTGAAAGAAAATGTTCAAAGGGGAAAGGAAAATACGGAAGGGGTGGGAGAAAGGAAAGTAGGGAAAGGAAAAATGAGAAAAGAAGGAAAAAACCTATCTTATCAGATATGAACATTAAGAGGAAAACGCAAAGGAGAAAGGCAGATAGACAAAAATATGTTTTCCCCCAGAAACCTCCGAGGGACAATTTTACCCTAGACCTTGATGACTGGGGTTACTTAGTCATCTTGTATTATATGGGAAGTTAAATACTATCAGTAACTAGCATATAGCATATGGAAATTAATTTTACACCCAGGGTTCTTCTTAATCAGTTTATGTTCTTGTCCATGCCTTGTGTCCCTCTCTGTGAAGAATATATTTTAGCAAATTTCCACCAGATTAAGTTTCCTAAATCATTAAAAATTTGGTGCATAGTAAGTCCTCCACAACCAACCATCCCTGGCTTCCATAGAGGAATTAGCCCTGCCTCTGATTGCACATACATATATGCTTATAAAATCATAACACTCCACAAAATACTCTCTTTAAATACTTCACTCTTTTCCTTGTTTTTGTTTCTATCACCATAATATATGACTTGTGATTGAAACTGAATGAATACCTAAGAAAGAAGAGAATGAAGAGTGAACATACCTTCCCATCAAGTCCCTTTGCTGACATCATTTTGATCCATAACTGAAAAGAATATTTCATTTGTTTCAGTTTGACCTGTTGAACTGAGGCTCCAAGGATAGTTTCAAGGTGAATCACAACCTTACAAAAGAAGAATATAAAAAATATACAAATTTGATGAGAAAAAGATACAACTGGTGAGTGATGTCAGCAAGATAGTAGGCTAGAGAGTTGCAAGCCTTTGTTCCATTATAAGAACAACAAAATAACAAAGTGTAGATGCAAGTAGCTTTGTAAAAACTCTATAATAATTTAAGACCCAATAGTAACCAGATAAATGATTATAAAATAAAACATATTCTCAAAAGTTAGGTGATTTTATAGCATTTTTGTTCAGTCATACTTTTCTCCTTGCTGTGACAAAATATCTGGCATCTACAAGTAAAAGGAGGAAAGATTTATCTCATCTGACAGTTGTAGAGGTTTTTATCTATAGTTCAATAGTTCCAAGGCAGGGTGGCATGGCAGAAGGGCATTGCAGAGGTAAAATAATCCATGGCAAAGTAGCAAGTAGCACCTTCCTTCTTTCTGTACCTTTATATTGCATCCAGGCAACAAGCCTATTGATTGGTGCCACCCACATCCAGAGTGGGGCTTCCCATTGTCCACTTCCAGAACTATAACCAATTAAGGTACTAATCTAAAAGCCCTGAAATTCAAGAATTACACTTTTAATCCACATTCACACACCCTAAATCTAGCCACCTCTGAAAAGCCTCACCTATGACTGTATGAGGATTTGGGGAAGCATCTATACACATAACATTCCACCCTTGTATTCCTAAGAACTCATATACATCCCTTTATGCAAAAGACATTTAGCCCATCTCCAAGAATCGCAAAAGTCCTAACAGTTTCAGCATTGCTGAAAAGTACAAGTCCAAAATCTTCTCTGAGAATTAAGACAAACTCTTAGTTGTGAGCCCTTCTACAAATGAAAATAATATTAAACACTTCCAACATACAATGGCACAAGATAATCATTTCCAATCAAAAAGGTACAAATAGGTGAACAGAAAAAATGGAATCTAAGCAAGTACAAAATCCAGCAGGGCAAGCATTAAGTTTTGTAGTTATGTCCAGTATTCCAGGTAATCTGTGGCAATATGTGAACTTCAGTGGGCTTCATTGGTCTGCCACTGCAGCACTGCTGTTGGTTGTAGCCTTTATGGCTTCTTTCTTGGAACAACTTTGCTCACACCTTGCAGCTTTCCTAGATGATTCACACTCTCGGCTTCTCCAAATTCCAAGTCTCCACTGCACCTTTGGCTTCCCACTCACATGTTCACACCCTGCTATCTCAAGGGCACACTGCCTGGTCACCAAGGGCTTCTTCTGAATTCTGGGTGGAAGTCTTCCTGACACTAAAACTATTGCATTCTGCATGCACGTAAAACCCGCACCACATGGATGAAGCCAAGGTCTGCTGTCATCTGGAGCAGTAGCCAGGCTTCCTTCTCTCTTGGCTGTAAGGGTCAAGTACTTATGAACCAAATCCCAAAGAACAACTTGCACAGGTCACTACCATTCTAGAACATGGAGCTCTGTACCTCTCTTCTCAAAGCAAAGTCATTCACCATTGCAATTTTGAGGCTGGAAAAGGCGGAGTATTGCTGTTTCTTTTGATGTCTTCAAGTCATTCTTTATATTGTCTGCTGCCTTTTCAGCAACCAAATTTTCCTCAGCTAAGTCTTTAGAAGACACAACTTCACCACAGCTTCCTTTCTGGCCAAACTCAAAAACATTTTAAATCATTCTTCTGGGCATGCCATTGCCACAACATTAGAATGCCTTGAAATTTCTTCCACAGTTTATTCCACTGTCCATAATCTCAAGCTCAAACAAAGTCTCTGGACAGGAGCAAAATGTGACCACATTTCTACCAAAGCATAATACACACAGTATGGAGTCCAAAGTCCAATGGAGTTTTTCTTCCCAATTGAAACTTCCTGAGCCTAGTCTTTACTAGCAGCATTTCTATCAGCATTCTGGTCTTCTGAGCTCTGACCAGAATCTCCCATCAAGTTCAGCATACAGTACTCCAAGGCTGCTTCTTCAACCAATATCATCAATCATTTCTAAATTATTCCTGAAAGCCAATTCCAAAGGCTTCTGAACCACATGATCAGTTGCATCACAGCCATGGCCACACTGTCAGTACCAAAATTGGTCTTAGTTAATTTATTCTTTGCTGGGACAAAATACCCAACACCCACAATTTAAAGGAGGAAAGGTTTATTTCAATTCACATTTTGTGGTGGTTTCAGTCTATAGCCTGCTGGTCCTAAGGCAGTGTGGCATGATAGAAAGGCACCACAGGAGAAATAGTCTGTGGCAAATCAGGCAGGAGGGAGTGAAGCAGCAAGTAGCATCCTGGCTTCTTTCTATCCCTTTATAATCCATGAAGGCAAGAATCCCATTTATTGGTGCCAGACAGACCCATGGTGGAGCTTCCTATTATCTATGCCCAGAATGTTGATAAACCGATTAGTGGACTAACCCACATACCCTTAATCCCAGTATCACATTTTTAATTCATGTTCACACACCTTAGGTCCAGCTGCCTCTGAAAAGCCCTACCTATGACTGCATCAGGATTTGGGTGTCATCTAAATATAAGCCATGACAATCATCCTACTCTTTCCTTTTCTGTAGCACAGAGGAAAATGCTGAACATAAAGCAGGCCAGTTGTTGGTTTATTTCTTTTTGAATAAAAACAAAGCAGCAGAACTTGCTTTAAAAATTTCCATTTTTGATGAAGGTAGCAAAAGAGATTGGCTTCCATCTTATCTGACTTGGAGTACAGATTGGAAACATGACACAATTTAAATATTAAGATTTTAATTTTTTTATTTATATCAGTAGATGTTTATAGTACACAATGATTATATTCTTGTGAGGAGCTGGTAAATGTGTATAACACATTTTACTTCTTTTTATTCCCATTCCCATCCCCTTCTTCCCCTTTCTCTCCATCTTTTTGTTGGCTTCACATTTGTAAAAGATCTATCACCCTGTTCACTATTATCTATCTTTTATTTTGCTCTTTATACATTGAGTTTCTCATATAAGAGAAACTACGCAACATGTAAGCTTCTGTGTCTGATTTATTTTACTTAATATTATGGTGTCAATGTGCAATTTCCTACAGATGAATCAAATATCTCCTGCCTTATATCACAGTAGTATCAGTAGTCTATTGTGTATTAATACTATATTTTATTTATCCTTTTATCTGTCGTTGGGTATATGTAGGTCACTTCAGATTTCTCTAGTATGAGTCATGCTACTATAAACATGGGTGTGCATACATCACTGTACTTGTTGTCTTTAACTCTTTGAAGAATATACCTGTAGATGAATAACTGGGTAAAATGAAATTTTTAGTTTTAGGTTTTTTTAGCCAACGTCATATGATTTCCATTGTAATTGTACTGCAGATAGCTAAATTAGTTAAAAATTATAAGGCAGTTAGACAAGGCTGGGCCCTCAACAACTGAAGCACATTAACTGAAGTTTAATATTATAAAAAGAGAGAAACTACTACTTCTACCTACTTCCCCTGGGGATGAATAGCAGTGATTGATATTATAAATAGATGTTAATCACCTTAATTGGGGACAAAAACATCCCTAGCTAGCCAATTCCTTCTGGAAAATCCATGTATGCTTTCTAAGTGACTAGCTTCCCCATTTAATGTCCATTTAATCAACATTACCTGGGTGACTATACTTGTAATCTTATTGGCTGATTATGGTTTTGTCCCACCTTGTGCCCACCTTCTGATTTTTTGGAAAATTTCCACTGGACCTTATAGTTTTGTCCCACTTTGTACCCACCTCACCTTGTGGGTTTACCCCATAAAACACCTTTCAGTAGTGGAGTGGGTGGATAATCCACTTTCTGGTCCCACTTCTGTCTCTCTTAGAAGCTATCTTTCAATAAATTCTTCCTACTCTTAACCTCTGTTGTTCCTAGAATTCATTCTTCAATTTCAGAGAACACAAAGTTGCATTTCAGATATCTAATAGGTTGGAAATTATAATATTTTCCTTATTTGAATTACTTGGTACCCTATATCAGTTGTAATATTTTTTCCCTCCAACAATAGGAAAGGTTATCTTTTCTCACAGCCTCAACAACATTTGTTATTTGATTTCTTGATGACAGCCATTCTTTTTGGAATAAGAAGGAATACTAGTGTTGTTTTAATTAGCATTTTTCTAATGGCCAGAGATTGTTGCACATTTTTTCATGTATTTATTGGTCATTTGTACTTCTGAGAATTGCCTATTCATTTCTATTACCCATTTCTGATTAAGTCTTTTATTTTGGGAGGGTCTAATTCTTCAAGGTTTTAAAAATATGTATTCTAAATATGTTCTTCTGTCCCAAGTGTAGCTAGCAAAAATTTTTCCCATTTTTAAGGTTGTCTTTTCATTTTATTGGTCATTTATTTTGTTTCATAGAGGTTATTTAATTTAATATGATGCCATTTGTTGATTCTTGTTGCTATTTCCTGTGTAATTGTGGTTCAGTTCAGAAAGTCCTAGCCTATGCCTGTCTTCAAGAGTTTCACCTATTTAATTTCAAACAGATTGCTTCAGTTTCAATATGTATATTTTTAATACAGTTTGATTTTACATGGTGAGAGGTACAGGTCTAGATTCAATCTTCTACATGAAGATAATTTTCTTAGCACCACATTTTAAAAAGATCTATCTTTCCCCACTGTATGTTGTTGGGGTTCTTGTCAAAATAGCTGAATGTGTTGAGATTTGCTTCTGTATCTTTTATTCTATTCCATTTATATGTGTGTGTTTGCCGTAACATGCTATTTTATCACTGGATCTTATTAAGATAACTTTAAATCTAGGAAATGATGCCTCCTGCTTTACTATTCTTGCCAAAGATTGTTTTGATCTTCTGAGTCTCTTCTAGTTTCTTATGCATTTTAGGATTATTGTGATTAGCTCTGTGAAAAATACTACTGGATTGTTCACTGTGATGGTATTAAATCTATATATCAATTTTGGATGGATGATCATTGGTTATGCCTAATCAGAAATGAGGGATGCCT